AAGTCCAACAAAAAACAGGTCCAAAACCAGATCCAAAACAAGATCTAAATCCAGGTCCAAAACCAGTCAAAACCAAGTTCAAGTCCAACAAAAACCAGGTCCAAAACCAGGTCCAAGTCCAACAAAAAACAGGTCCAAAACCAGGTCCAAAACAAGATCTAAATCCAGGTCCAAAACCAGTCAAAACCAAGTTCAAGTCCAACAAAAACCAGGTCCAAGTCCAACAAAAACCAGGTTCAAGTCCAACAAAAACCAGGTCCAACCAAAAACCAGGTCCCAAACAAGATTTAAAACTGGGTCCAAAACCAGTCAAAACCAGGTCCAAGTCACACAAAAACCAGGTTCAATTCACACAAAAAACAGGTTCAAGTCCAACCAAAGACCAGGTCCAAAACAAGATCTAAAACCAGGTCCAAAACTAGATCCTGCACCAGTTCAAACAAAGACATAAAAACTTCAACAACCTGCCACATAGATTTAAGAATCTCAAAAAACAAACTAAAACAAATTCAGGTACAAAACCTTTTTAAAAGATTCCAAACCTGATCCGTACACCAGCTTTAAACCAGTTACAGACCACTTCAAAACCCAGTCCAGACCTGAACCAGTACTGAGTAAAGAACTTGTTTATTAGTTAACAGTTAGCTCCGCCTCCTTCACCTTCTGCAGGATCAGGTTCAGGTAGACGCTCTCCTCCCAGTCGATGTCAGGGTCACCAAGACCCGGGAGCTTCTTGGAGTCCCTCCTGTAGACCTCCACCTCCACCTGCAACACAGAGTCCATCAGAACTGGACCACCGGGTGGTCCCTGAGGTCCCGAGCCACCTCTCGTCTCATCACCTTCTTGCTGTCGTTGCTGTCGGCGCCGACGTAGGCGGGCTTCCTGCGGACGTAGAACAGCATGTCGTCCTGACGGGGGGCCCATTTCTCCATGAAGTAGGTGGAGAACATCCAGGTCCAGAAGACGATGCGGTCATCTTTAAAACAGCCTGAGGACACAGCAGAGGGTCCGGACCACTCAAACACTGCAGCTTTTATTTCAAACAGAAACTTCCTGTTTACGTTCAAATGACACAAGTCCAGCAGTAAAATAATATGATATGAAGAACTGGTGAAACACTAGTGAAAAGCTGGTGAAACACTAGTGAAAAGCTGGTGAAACACTGGTGAAGCACTGGTGAAGAACTGGTGAAACACTAGGGGTGTAAGAAAATATTGATACACTGAAATATCACGATATTTCATTTCCCGATACTGTATCGATATTCTAAAGCCCTGTATCGATTTTTTATTAAGGTTTAAAATGTCAACTTTCCTGCCAGCCGTTCATTTTTATGTTGTAGTTCAGCCTCTGACCACTAGTTGGCAACAGTGAGCCAGCCATTTGACTCCTCTACCTCTTGAGGTAGAGGTTATTGTTAAGTGCGACCAGTTATACATCGGGGAAACAAAGCAACCACGGTTCAAAAGAATGTCCCAACACAGACGAGCTAATTC